CCTCCCCCCCCCCCCCAGTCGCCTTGACTGGCACGCGCCGGGAACCCGGGCTCGGGCCCCTCAGCGCGTCTGATTGGCTGCGCGGCAGCTCCCGTCTCCTCTCCCTGCTTCTTCATTGGGCGAGAGACGCAGCCAGCGGCACTTCAAAGCGGGTGCTCCTCGCACTTAGGCTGAGTTTAGCCGGCGGGAGCCCGGAGTCCGCTCGGCGCGAGCGCGGAGACGCCGGACCCTCGCGGGACCCGAGTAGTTTTCCGAGCAGCCGTCAGGCTCAGTCCCGCTCCCGGCTCCGCACCGCAGCCCAGGGACCTGCTATGGCCACGTCTATACTCGGGGTAAGTCGGAAGCGCGGCAGGGCATGTGTGCGTTTAACTGGAGTGATTTTTCGTTATGGCTTCTCAGAGTCCGAGGTTCCTGAGAAACTGTTGCTGCGGAACTGCAGCTTCAGCCTCCTTTGCACTTTCCACATTTCCAGGATAGCGTCTTTCCAAGTTATTGGAACCCTGGCGATGTCTTAACAAGACAATTATTTCTTAAGCAAGTTCTTTTTTGTTTGGTTTCAAAGAGAAGCTAGAGGTTTTTTCCTCCCTTTCCCTCTTGATTTGTGCCCCATCCCCCCTGGCTTCGGGGATTGTTGCAATTTCTCGACAGTGATGTTTCCAGAAAACATCCCTAATCGTTTTGAAGTCCTTGTAGTCACGTTAACAAACATTTACATTCCCGCGGCTCCCCAGCTTGCCCTTGACTTTCAAATTCGTCCCTGGGTTACTTCTCTTCGAATTATTGTTTTCAAAATCGGGGTTCTTTTGTGTAAACATTAAGAACGTTTTCTGCTAAGGAGCAAGTCTTTACCACCTTTGAAAGATGTGTAACTCAGTACCCATGTTCCCCCGCCCCTGGGCCGCTGTTTCGTCCGCCTCTGCCCTTACCCAATGTTTGCTGTCGATGTGTTTACCTTCGTCCTTCACCCCAAGGGTGTCTTGGGGGATTTGGCGAGAAAGCGAGCTCAAGGCGAGCAGAAGGCAAGCAGTCGGATCTGGTTCTGGGAAGGGTTTGCAGTGGCTGAGGTAGGGAGACGCAGGCATCTTTGGTTTGTAGCTCCACTTCACAGCAACTTTGCAGCGCCAGGACCCTTGCCCTGCCGTGTCCTCTGTCCCGCAGGGGAGGAAGCGCGAGTGGGGGCTACAGCCTCCCACCCCGGGATCGGCCGTGGCGGGGGGGACCAGGCTGCTCACGGGTCCACTTTGTGTCTCCCCCCCAACTTCCTCCTGCCCTCCTCCTCCTTGCTCCCTTCCCCACCCCACCCGCTCTAGGAAGAGCCACGCTTCGGAACGACCCCGTTGGCCATGCTGGCAGCGACCTGCAACAAGATCGGCAACACCAGCCCGCTGACAACGCTGCCGGAGTCGAGCGCCTTCGCCAAGGGCGGCTTCCACCCCTGGAAGCGCTCCTCATCCAGCTGCAACCTCGGCTCCAGCCTCTCGGGCTTCGCCGTGACCACGGGAGGCCGCGGCTCGGGCGGCTTGGCGGGCGGCTCGGGCGCCGCCAACAGCGCTTTCTGCTTGGCCTCCACGTCGCCCACCTCGTCGGCCTTCAGCAGTGACTACGGCGGCCTCTTCTCCAACTCGGCGGCGGCCGCAGCCGCGGCAGCCGGAGTGTCCCCGCAGGAAGCGGGCGGCCAGTCGGCCTTCATCTCCAAGGTGCACACGACGGCAGCCGACGGCCTGTACCCGCGCGTGGGCATGGCGCACCCGTACGAGTCGTGGTTCAAGCCCTCGCACCCGGGCTTGGGCGCTGCCGGCGACGTGGGCTCGGCGGGCGCCTCCAGCTGGTGGGACGTGGGCGCGGGCTGGATCGACGTGCAGAACCCAAATGGCGCGGCGGCGCTGCCCGGCTCGCTGCACCCGGCCGCCGGGGGGCTCCAGACCTCGCTGCACTCGCCGCTCGGAGGCTACAACTCGGATTACTCCGGCCTGAGCCACTCGGCCTTCAGTAGCGGCGCCTCCTCGCACTTGCTCAGCCCCGCCGGGCAGCACCTCATGGACGGCTTCAAGCCCGTGCTGCCCGGCTCGTACCCGGACTCGGCCCCGTCGCCGCTGGCCGGCGCGGGCGGCTCCATGCTGAGCGCTGGGCCGTCGGCGCCGCTGGGGGGCTCCCCGCGCTCCTCCGCGCGTCGCTACTCGGGCCGCGCCACCTGCGACTGCCCCAACTGCCAGGAGGCGGAGCGGCTGGGCCCGGCCGGGGCGAGCCTGCGGCGCAAGGGCCTGCACAGCTGCCACATCCCGGGTTGCGGCAAAGTGTACGGCAAGACCTCGCACCTGAAGGCGCACCTGCGCTGGCACACGGGCGAGCGGCCCTTCGTGTGCAACTGGCTCTTCTGCGGCAAGCGCTTCACGCGCTCGGACGAGCTGCAGCGGCACCTGCGGACTCACACGGGCGAGAAGCGCTTCGCCTGCCCCGTCTGCAACAAGCGCTTCATGCGCAGCGACCACCTGAGCAAACACATTAAGACGCACAACGGGGGCGGCGGAGGAAAAAAGGGCAGCGACAGTGACACGGACGCCAGCAACCTGGAGACGCCTCGCTCCGAGTCCCCTGACCTCATTCTGCACGACTCTGGCGTCAGCGCCGCCCGGGCAGCGGCGGCGGCGGCGGCGGCAGCAGCG